GCAACACTGCAATGGCTTGGGGAAGTCTGGGGAGACTGTTGTTCTCTCTTATAGCCTCTTCCTGTCTGCCGCCACCTTGGGCATGTGGTGTTTAGCATACAGAAAGACCAGGGTGCCCACCATGGGTGAGCTGGGCGGTTCTGAGAACATTTTTGCTTCAGCGTCTTTCCTGCGTTGGCAGCCTGTGGTGGACCAAGGCCAGGGAGGGTGGGGGCCATCCAGCCTGGCCTGCCTCAATCCCACCTTCCCTGTGGCCAGCCTACAGCTCAGCTCCTGGCCCCTCCAGCCCTCCTGCATAGCTCAAGCCTGTCCTCTGGCCTTGCTCAGAATGCCAGGTCTCAGCTCAGGAAGAAGAGCGTGCTCCACACGCTGCGGCTTCAATAACTGACGGAGGCACAGGGGTGGTGTGCATCCTGCCAGGCTTGCTCAGAGGGCAAGCCCCGGTCCCGATTGCCCATCAGCCTGCGCACCCGGCCTGTGCTGTGATCTGGGCTCTTCAGTCCTTGTGGAAGCAATGGGGCAGGTAGAAAAGAGAAAATGGCAAATCGCTCAAAAATCAGAAGCCAAGTAAGTGCCTGACACTTCAGTCTTCTGTCTTTGGTGAATAAATATACCTGGTAAAGGGGGTTTCCAGGGTGAGATGAGGGAAAATCAAAGCCTTGCATGGAGGGCTGTACTCCAGTGACCTCCCTGCCCATCTGTCCATCTGTCTGTCCATCCATCCATCCGTGAATCCCCCTATTCCACCTACCCACCTGCCCGCCCATCTGCTGACTGATGCAGCCGCCATTCATGCTTCTTGAGTTAGAGTGTGGGGAGGTGGTCAGTGGTTATGTTGGTGTGGGTCGACTCCTCTTTGCATTTCTTTGCTTTTCTCTCTCTCTTTTTTTGGTACCTGGGATTGAATCCAGGGGTGCTTAACCACTAAGCCACATCCCCAGCCCTCTTTTATATTTTATTTAGAGACAGGGTCTCACTAAGATGCTTGGGGCCTTGCTAAGTTGCTGAGGCTAAGCCAGAACTCAGGATCCTCCTGCCTCAGCCTCCCGAGCTGCCAAGATCACAGGTGTGCACCCCCGCACCTGGCCTGGTGGGGAAGCTTGTGTGCTGTTTCCACTCCTGCTGGACCAGGCCTGTCACACTCATTCCCAGCTGTGGGTGACGCCAGGTGGTCACCAGGTAGGCAGGGCGAGGCCTTGTGCTGCCCCAGGGTTGGGGCCTTGCTGCCTGGCAGCCTGCCCACGCTGCTGCAGGGGCTGCTGGCCCCCTGCCAGCACCAGGCTGGCGGAGTGCTAATGCGGTGCTGCTGCGAGCTTCCTGTAGTAAACAAGCAGGCTGGGCTCTGGGCCTGGGAACCATCTTGGCAAAACAGGAGAGGGCTCAGAGGTGTGGCTGGGTGAGCTTCCAATAGCCACTTTCCTCACCCTCCCAACCTGCCCGGGCCGGACCCAGCCTGGTCAGTAAATGTGGGCAGCACACCGGGCTGGGCTCCTCTTGGAGGTGGAACTGCAGTGGGACCAGAGGCAAAGACCTAAATGAGGACAGAGACGCACAGAGAGAGAGAGAGAGGGAGGTAGAGACGGGGTGGGGTGGTGGGTGAGAGAGAGGGACAGACAGACAGACTCCCAAGGCTAGAGTCAGGGAGAGGGAGGATTTCAAGGCCCGAAGGCCTGATAAGGGTCAGGGCAGGGGGCCCAGGGCAAGGGCAGAAGAGGAATGGGGGGCTTCAGTCCAGCTCCTCCAGAGGCCCGAGTGTGAGGAGCGATGCTGATGCTCAGTCCCGGCCCCTCCCCTGGACAGCCGCTCACTGTGAGTGACATTTCCTACTTGCTCAGACACATTCGGGCCTCCCAGGGGCCTGACTGAGCGGGTGGGAGCCCCCTGCCCTGTGGGGTGGTGGCAGAGGTGTGCCGTGCCTCTGGGAGGGGCAGCTGTGACTGGACCCCAGGACTGGCTGGGTTGACGGGTTGACGGGGATGGGAGGGCAGTTTGGAGACAGGCCCCTCTGGGGACTGAGACCTCCCTGCATGCTCCAGAGCCCGGGATGGACACGGCCGCCTTGTGGTGGCCCTTCCTGCCATCTACATTAGTGCTGCTCTTTCTGGGAGAAAGAGGTCGTCCCATTCAGGACGCCCATCTCCTGTCCCCTCTCTCCTGTCCCCAACTCTAGTGCAGGCTGTGGTAGTTCTGGGAGTGTGGCCATCCTGGCTTACAGCCCAGTCCCTCTCAGGGAAGGGCCTTTGGTGACAGCTGGGGGGCTCCCTGCGTCCAGTGGCTGACCAATTGCTGGGGGGCATACAAAGGCTTTGTCCTTTGTTTCCACCTGGGACACTCCCGAAACCCAACCCAGTCCCAGAGTTCCTCGTCCAGGTGGAACTACTCCCTATTTGCAGATGAATGACCAGGAACTTGTCCCCTGTGGATTTAGCTCAGAGGGACAGGGCTCCAGCCTGCTGCCCGGCACCTCTGTGCTCCCACCAGAGCGGCAGGAAAGTGGGGTGGGTGAAGCTCTGGGGCCAGGCTGCCTGGGTCACATGGCAGCCCCCTTCGCCCACCCCGGTTAGGCGCTGTGTGGCTTTGGATGACCAGGTGAAGGGCGTTAATCTGTACTAATGTGTTCAAGCACACAGTGGCCCGTGTTAGCGGTTATAATTATTATTTTTGTGGCTCATGAGTCTCAGTGTGTTTTCTGTTGCTGTAACAGAGTAGGAGACGAGGTAGTTTATAAAGGAAAGAAGCATTTTTAGCTCATGATTCTGGAGGCAGGAAATTCAAGCGCAGGTGGCTGCCGCTGGCCAGGGCCGTGTGCTGTGTCAGAGCTTGCAGAACCGAGAGGCTGCGAGCCTCCGTGAGGACACAGCGCCGGGGGCCCGGCTGGCTTCAGGACAGCCCATTCTCGAGGTGGCTAACTGAGGACTGTGCCAGCCTGTCACCTCTTACAGGCCCCGCCCCCTGCGTGGGGAATCAGATTTCAACATGCGTTTTGGAGGCGACAAACCAGATCCAAATCATGGCGGCATGAAATAGCACCTGGTCTTCCCGTTGGCGCAGCTGCGTGTCCAGCCCAGGGGACGACACACTTGCAGGGCAGGGCGCTATTTCCTGAGGTGATCTAGGAGTCCCCCGTGTCCCCTTAGCCTCATGCATTGCCAGCCCCTCACTTTGCAGACAAGGCAGAGAGGGGTGCCCTCCCTTCGGGGCTGAAGAAGACCCGGGCCCTGGTGTCCAACCCTGGAGTGCGGCTCTGGGCTCCGTCCTCCATGTTCCAGGGCCAGCCTCTTCTCTCCTGACTCTTGGGGTGTAGGACCAGAGGACGGGGTGTGTCCTCATGGCGTTTGTGGGCAGGGTGGTTGCGCTTGCCGAGGGAATGGTTATTTTAGAGGTGACAGCTGCCCCACACCATGACCCCCTCCCAGTTCTGTTTTTGGAGGCGGGAGGCTGGCCTTGTTGGGTCTCTACAGGATCAGATGAGAGGCCACTGAGCTTCTGAGGATGAGCCCTTGGCATGTGCCTACTGCACGGAGTCCGCATGGGCCACTCAGTCGTTAGTACCAACACGGGGCAGCCGCAGCTGACCCCCGCATTCCTGCCTCGGCCACCCCTCCTGCCTTCCTGCGTGTCTAGCCTGTTCCTCGTGCTGTGAGCCCGCCCGGCCCCACCTGGCAGTGGCATCTGCTGCCCTCTGCTCTCAGCCCTGTCCCTCTAGAGCTACACTGTCCGGCACGGTGGCTGTGTGTAGCTGGCGGTCTACAGGCCAAGCCGAGATGGGATAGGATGACAAAATATACCCTGGATGTGGAAGACGGCTTGAAAATAAGTGGATCTCATCCTTTTTTTTTTTAACAACTAGCTGTTGGTTTCATTTCTTTTTTTTCTTTTTAATATTTATTTTTTTTTTAGTTATAGGGGACACAGTATCTTTATTTGATTTTTATGTGGTGCTGAGGATCAAACCCAGTGCCTCACGCATGCAAGGCGAGTGCGCTACCACTTGAGCCACAATCCCAGCCCTTACCTGTTTCTTAATTGTTGCTGAAGGTCTTTTTTTATTTCCTGTGGTGCCAGGGATGGAACCCAGGGCCTCATGCAGACCAAGCAGGAAGACTCTGCCACTGAGCCACCACCCCAGCCTCTCCTGTTACTTTACATTTTTTCATGAAGGTTCACAGAAGGTTCTAGAACATACATGTGATTTGGATCATATTTCTATGGGCAGTGCTGAGTCCATTGTTCACACAGCAACCAGGGAGTCTTTAAGACCTTGGTGAATATGTCCTGTCTCTGCTTATAATCCTGTAAGTGTTCCCATTTCACATAGAGCAAACATTGCAGCCTTATGGCCTTCAGGACCCTCTGGGGGTAATCCCCACTTTTGCTTCCTTGCAGATCTTCCCTGCTAACTTGTTTTAACCACGCTGGCCACCTGTAGCTACTTAAACTTGCAGGAATCATTTCCACCCCAGGGCCTTTGCATTTGCAGTTTCCTTTGCTAGGAGTGATTCCCTGTTTCTTCATATGTTCACTACCTTACCGATTTCTGCTCACATGTTCTCTCCCCAGAGAGGTCTTTTCTGTCCACAATGGTTGAAAGAGAAACCTCCTCATTCCTCTCTAGTCTCTTAGGCAGAGCGTGATTTTGCATGTTGTATTTCATATGTGGCCTGGGGTTTCTCTCCCTGTGGTTCCTGGGCAGGTCCTTAGAGATCACTTATTCAACCTCTTCACTTTGTAGATGGGAAGATTTAGATTCAGGGAAGGAAAGATCTTACCCGAGTTACCATTTATTGAATGTCTATTACCTGCGAGAAGGTTCACATCCGTTGTTTTGTGGATTCTCACCATTTCCTCGGGACTCTGACTTTGCAGATGAGGAATCCGAGGTGGAGAGAGGTGAAGTGATTTACCTAAGGTCACACAGTAGGTGGGTGGACCTGGGCTGGGATGCAGACCTGCCTGTGGCCCAGGCTTGGGCTGTTTTTCTCTGATCTCCCAAATTCCAGGACCAGGCCTCCTGCATCCCAGCCCAGAAGATCTTCTACACGGGTGGAAGCTTCTGCAGGTGGTGGGTGGCGGCAACAAAACGGAAGGAGAGCCCCACCGTCTGCTCCTGGTGTTGCCTCCCAGGCCCCCACAAAGCCAGGGGAGGAGGGGCGCCCGCCTGCCAGGGCCTAGCCGGGGAGCCCCCAGCGCCGGGCTCTTCTCCCTGGGGGCTGAGCGCCTCTCCCTGCCCGATCTGGGCCGAGCCTTCATGTATTATTAATGGCGCTGCCAGCCTTCCTGTTTTCACGCTGATAACCTGCTGGGGAGGGCGGCGGGAGGCGGAGGGAGCAAGGTGCGAACCCCCGAGCTTCCAGGGCCCCTCCTCCGTGGAGGCGCTGTGCTGCGGGGGCTGGCGCCGGCCCAAGTCTCTGAAGTTGGCTTCTAGAGCTTCTCCAGCCCGTCCTCCGTCCTCTGATGGGAGCCCGGGAGGGGACCAGCCCTGCAGAGGGAGTCCATGCAGGAGGCTGGACCATGGGGTCCGGAGGGGCCCCATCCCCCTTCCCTTTAGGGCCCCGAGAGCTCAAACCCCAGTGGTCTTGCCCAGAGGCAGATGTGCCCACATCGGGTGGCGGTGGGACTCAGGGCTGGGTGTCCTGTGTTGTGTGTGTGTGTCCAGGAAACGCCAAGTGAGCCTCTCTTCCCAGCCTCCTGCTCCGTGATGTCGCACTGGTGGTTTGCAGTTGGCCCAGACTCAGCACGTGCTGCCCATCAGGGAGCCCCACCCCCAGAGCCGGTTGTTGCCTTCACTAGCACAGCCCTGGGGACCTGAGGCCTGGGCTCTTCCAGCCGTCCACCCTGCTGCCTCAAATTCTCCCCTCTTCCCTTTGCCTAGTTTTCAACCATGATGATAAAAGCAGTCGTAACTACGGCTCCCATTTATTGTACTCTTATTAGTTATGCTCTGGGTCCATTGGAAGAGTTTTACAGGTGACATCTCCATGGTCATCCAGAGAATGGGCGCTGTCTCACAGAAAGGTTTACTGATGAGCCAAGAGGCACAGAGAGGGTCAGGGACATCTGAGGCCACACAGCTGATTGATGGCACAGCCAGGACCCACGTCAGATCTAAGTCACCCCTGCTTCTGTGCAGGGGTCTCTTGGGAAGTGCCTCCTGGATGCCTTCTGACTGTCCCCGGGCTCCCTGGCAGGCATTCTCCGTCATCTCCCAGGGGCTGTGCCTTGAGCCCACAGACCTGCCCTGCCTGTCCTGCCGTTGGCTGAGAGCTGCGAGAGCCCGGTTCCGGGTCTGATTTATTTTGTGTCACTCTACCTGGCCCAGGAGCAAGCAGAGTCAGCTGCTGAGCGAGTCACTCGCAGCTAATCAGGGGGACCTTTGGCAGAGTCCCCGGCACCTTGCAGGTCCTTGCATGTCCCACGCTCAGCGAGGGCTGCTGGGCTTGTTAGGGACCTGGCTCCGTCTCTTTGTGCCGATTGCCCTCCACATACCAGGCCTGGTTCCAGGAGCCTGGAGTGGTAGCGGCAACACGACCAACAGACATCTTTGTTCCCTTGGACGAAGCTTGGGTTCTAGTGGGGGAGGCATCCAACAAACAGGGTCAAGAAGTAAAATACAAAGGTTTTAGTGACATGTGCTCAGGAGGAAAGGAAAGCAGCAGGAGGAGGGATGAGCAACCTCCCGGGAGCTTGAAACGTGGATGAGTTGGTCAGGAGCCCATCAGACTGAAAAGGTAACAGTGAAGCAAGCAAAGGAGCAAGCTGCGTTGTTTGCTGTGGGAGAAACAGGCAGTGCAAAGGTCCTGGGGCACGAACTTGCTAGGTATGTTTGAGCAACAACTAGGGAGCTACTGTGCAATGGAATGGAGTGAACGGAGGGAAAAATAGGTCAAAAAGTGGGAGTCAAGCAAAGCAGTGAGGAGAGAAGGGGTTGAAGGGAAGGATGCTGTGAATGGGCTGCTTCTGATGCTCCTGACCTCCACATTCTCCTCCTTGTCCCCAAGGTCCTGCCTCCGGGCACACCCGGCCACAAGAACAGAGGAGAGGTCAGGGTCTGGAGAGGCTGGCAGCACAGGGACAAAGTGGCAGAGGAGGGACGAGCCAGGGTGGCGAGGCCGTGAGTTGAGAGGGCAGGGACGGTGTGGGGTCTCCTCTGGGGCAGGCGCCAGGGCTGCAGGGGGAGGTGGTGCCGGGGCAGGTGATGCGTGGGCCGGGAGCACGTGGACTGGATTTATTTGTCCAATGCCACACCCCACCCCGAGCCCTAAGTACTCAATATCATAAATAAAACTCACCTAATAAATCTCCCCTGTATATTTTCTGCGTAGAATTTCATTACTCGTCTCGTTTCCAGTCATTAGGTTTTAGTCCAATTTGGAGTTGTCCTGATGGCTGTGTAAATCACGCCTGCGCCCCGAGGAGCGCGCACTCCAGGGAGAAGTCAGGCCTGCACCTGGGGGAGGTGACAGTCAGGGCCCATGCGGCCACTGGTGAGGTGTGGGCTGCGGCTTCCTGCTCACCCTGGAAAGGGGAGAGAGCTCTCATTAACTCACATTTCACACGCCTGGGAGCACATCGCCTCCATCTTCCCTCAAACCCTGGGAGGTAGGAATGTTTATCACCCCCTTAAAGAATGGTACTGAGGCTCAGAGAGGGAAAGTCACTTGTCCAAGGTCACACAGCTCCGATGGTTTGTACCTGGCACAGTCTGGCTTTGAGCTCAGGTTTACCTGACCCCAGACCCACCACATCCTCTGTGTCCTAGTGTCGGGGTTAGAGGAGACCGTAGATGCCTAGCACAGCGAGTGCCACCCTCCCACCAAGTGCCCCTTGTCTCCTAGCAGGGGCCGACCCCCTGTCATATGCTCCCTGTACTAACTTTGAACCACTTAGGAGGCCTCTGTCACCTCCAGTGGCCTCCGTGCCCTGGCACGTGCTGTGCTGTCTGTCATGGCTTCCGGGGTCGTTCATTCATGACCCTCCCCTGCTTGTATTTATGGCCCCAGCTCTGTGACTCTGGGTTACTATTTTTCTTCCCTTTTAAAACCTAAGCTCCCCACGAGGGTCGAGGTCACATCTGCTTGGCTTACAGTCTGTTCCAAGAGGGAACACAGTGTTCCGCACATCATAGGTGATAAAGGAACAGACGAATGGAGGAATGAATGAAGGAAGGAAGGTGTCACTCAGAGAGTGGAAGGAGGACATGTCCCCATGCCAGTGCCTTCACTGGGCAGGTCAGTTAGGCTCCCAAAGCCCAGAGGCGCTCTGTGTGGGCAGCCTCATGCCCCGGCCCCAACTTAGGGCCAGTCTTGGCTTCCACACCAACATCAGCTTTAGCCTCTGACCCAACTCAGAATCCAACCTCGGCCTCCACCCTGAACCCATCTCTGACCCTGACCTCAGCCCCAGATCCCGTGTCAGTCCAGCCACAAACCTCACTGCAGTCCAAACCCAACCTTAGCCCCTGGCCCAACTCAGCTTCCAACCTCAGCCTCAACACCTAACCCGCCTCCCCAGGCCCAGTCCAGCCTCCACCCAGCCTCTCACCTGTCCCCGACTGACCTCAGCCTCAGCTCCATGCTCAGCCCCTGACTCATCCTCGGCCTCCATGTTGCCCCAGCCTCAGCCCTGACGTCAGTGCAAGTCCCTTCCGTGTCCCCATCCAGCCTCAGCCTCCATCCTCAACCACCTCCCAGACCTAATTGCAACCACAGCGTCATCCTCAGCCTGAGCCCAGCCCCAGCTTCAGCCTCAGCCTCGATGCCTCCAGTCTGCCCGTCCTTCCTCACCCACGGGGCAGGGAGCAGCCTCGGGCACCGGTACTGGCTGTTCCCGTGGCCTGTCCTTCCTCCGCTCATACCTTACACTTGGAGGGCAGCCTTGGGAGGTCCCCCTAAGGGATGGGGACAGAAGCACTTGCAATGTTTCCCACCCGGAATTCAGTAGGACTTGTGGCGGGGGTGGCGGGAGGAGACAGAGAGCAAGTGGGAGAGGTGAGAGGGGCCAGCCATGTCTGACGGGAAGCAGGATTCTCCTCCAGTGGTCTGCTGTGAGGGCCTGGCTGCTTACAGTCACAAGAGGGGGCTGAGGCAGTGACAAGAGCCAGGGAGGCCGGGCTCCCTGACCTTCCCTGTAATCCCAGCGGCCTGGGAGGCTGAGGCAGGAGGATCTTGGGTTCAAAGTCAGGCTCAGCAATTTAGGGAGACGCTAAGCAACTCAGTGAGGCCCTGTCTCTGAATAAAACAGAAAAAAGGGCTGGGGGTGTGGCTCCGTGGTTAAGTGCTTGTGGGTCCAATCCCTGGTACCAAAAAAAAAAAAAAAAAGAGCAGTGAGTCCTGGGAGACCAGCTGTGGCCAGGAGCCCTCGCCGTCTCTAGGGCTGATGGGACGAGGGGAGGAGCCAGTGTCAGGGAGCCCAGGAGGGTGGGTGCTGTGGAGGGAGGGATGCGTGGTGGAGCTGTCCTGGAGACATAGCCACCGCCCAAAGTGTGGCCCTGGAGCGGGGAGGACGGGAGCCCATGGCCGCCTCCAACCCCCCCTCCGGCCTCTGGCAGCCCCTCTCACTTGCTGGACTCCACCCGGGGCACCCAGGCCCTGCAGGCCTCAGGGTCAGTCTCCAGGGGCCCAGGGCAGGATGGAGAAGGGAAGGGGTGGATGTGGGCCAAGGGATCCCATGGAGAAGGACTAGCAAGGAGAAAGATGGAGGGACGGTCAGCGGAGGCCGGCGGCAGAGGGGTGGGGGGGAGAGCAGCGTGGGCTGGGGAGGCGCCTTCCCGGGGCCTGGTGGGGCTGTTGGACCCCGGTGTCTGGGCGTCTCCTCAGATAAACTTCTGGGAAGCAACTGCCCAACGCTGGCAGAGGGCAGAGAAGTCAGCAAACACCAAGTGACAAACTCGGGCCTTCTGTTCCCAGCTCCTGGGAGAAGCAGCAGAGCCTGGGGGCGCCTGCCACAACCTGGTCCCCTGCCTGCTGCCCACATCCCCCATGGCCTCTGCCATGGGCTGGCGGAAACAGAGAAGAGTGGCTCCCCCAGCAGGTGTGAGGCCCAGGTAACATGAATGACACCGGAGAGCAGGGCGGATGCCCAGGTTCACACAGCCCGCACCTGCCCATACCTCTGGAGGCAAGCTGGAGGAGGGCCCGTGTTCCCATTTTATAGATGAGGACACTGAGGCTCATTGGGAAGGGACTTCCCAAGGCCATGTCATGAGTGCCACAGAGCTTTGAACTTGGGTCCAGATGGAGCCTGAATCCTGACCTCACACTG